AAATTTCAATTTTTTAATACCTTCGAAGTTTAAAACTGGCAACTGTTCGTTTCCTCAAATCGTTTAATGGCACAAACGTGCCAACATCCGTGGTTTCCTCTGGATAATCCTTGTCGGATAAGATCAGGGCGGTGAGTACAATGATAACAATGACGACAGTGAAAAATGCAAGGATCACACGCCAGGACCAAAAATGTCGCAAGCGGTGTTCCAGTTGATCGATTTTTTCGTCTGAAAGTTTTTGAAGTTGATCATAAATCACAGCGTATTTTCTTTCAAGCTGCCGTAAGCGTTAATTCTGGCATGATGCTTCGGAAAAGCATTTTCGCATTTGAATGTGAACTGGATGCAAATAATACCACCAACATCTTCTGTTTTAGATAACCAAAGTAACAAATTTTTGAAAAAAAAAAGACTTTGTAAATTTTATTCGTTTCAAAGAGCGAACAATACTCTATTTGATCTAAGATTTCTGCTGTTTGCATGGTTGAAGAAGGGGCCTTGGTTTGGAAGCATTAATAATTAAAAACACTTTGCAACTGAGTTTTGGAAATTGCCGATGGACAGATAGGCCTTCTTTTCACTTTTATAGCACGATTGCGCTAAGGTTGAGATTTTGGTGTAGGATGCAAGCACGCCAACAACAATAACGTCGAGGGGCTCTCAATAATAGCCTGTCGATCCAAGTAGCCATTGTCACTCGTGTCAATTAGTAAAACCAAATAGTAGATTAGGATGTTTTGTACAATCCATATCCATAAACGAAGCAAAAATACAGAGTTCTTAGAGGAAGATTTTTTTAATCCAAATAAATAGTAGTTACTTTTTTTCTTTAATCCAAATAAATAGTAGCTACTTTTTTAATGCATATGCTTATTTTCATATGTTTTTTTTTTTTTTGCATTCGAAAATGAATGAGATTAAAGAAAAAATTTTAAAAATCACTTCAGTAGCAAATAAATATTGATTTATGCCCGGACCAGAACAGCAATGAGTTTACTTCAAGCAGTCCACCAAAGAGGGAGTGAAAAGGATAACCTCTTCAAGTTCTCGGTCTGCTTGATCCGCCGCTCTTCGGCGTACTATTTTTGGCAGCATCTTGAAACGAGGCCTCATGTGGGTAATCGATTGATCCGCGAAAGTTCGCGGCACCACGGAAGGTTCGGGAGAGGCCTAGTCCTGATCCTTGGCGGGAGGACCTCGCCACTGCGCACAGTTTTCAGGGCATTTTACTCACTTTCGTTTCGACGCTATTAGTAGGCGGCTGGCTGTGGCCCGGATTTCTTGTTTTCGAAACTGCTACGAGGCGGTACAGTTTCTGTGCTGCTTTTGAAGCTGTTGGTTTATGATATGCATTTGCTGGCCAACAGCTCTGGCCCCATCTTACGACTACCCAACGACGATATTGACATTCGACTGGCCATTTGCCGACGAGCTTTCGGCAAGGAGTAAAGTATTCTGGGTAAGCTTTTGGAGTTATCAAAAGTTTCGCCCCAGGAGGTACCATTGCTATCTACAGCCCTATCAACAGGTGGTTGCTACTGGCAATGCGCTATCACTTGAAATATTTCTAATTGCTTCCGCCTCTCAAAGAAAAATGAAATACACCACGGAATGGAAAAGATTTGGCTTTGTTATAAAATTACATTAACATTACATTAAAGAGAAACTTGAAGAGTTACTCTGAAAATTGCTGGGCTCAAAAAAATTACTGGCTTTTAGATTTGTAAAGTAATACCGCAGTATCAGTACTCACCCTAATCAGTGCTGTAATTATACATGTAGTATGATGAAAGTACAGATATAACCTGCAGATTCCAGTCATTTATACTGATAGTGGCAAAAGAGTAACGAAGGGCAATGGGACAAAAGGGAGTGCAAATTTTCAAAGAATTAATTGCGGGGAATGTCCAGAAGTACTAACAAGAATTTGCGGTATTCCATCTGGAGGTTTCTCGAGACTCCTCAACATCCGTACTCGTCCGGCAACATCGACCAGAACACATCCGTTGCAGCTCGCTATTTATTATCTGATTTGTGGAGCTTCTGAAACAAACAAACATTAGTTTTTGACGAAAAACAGCTTTGCAAATTCCCAGAATAAAATCAACAGAAATAGGCAAGTAAGACTTAGGCTGACATCAGTACGAATCAGCTCATTTTCAAAGTCCTGTAACTGCTAAAAGAATAACAACATCATTTCCTGATTTTTAATTATTTACTTTTTTTGATGTATCATTTTTAGCTTGACCACAGCCTGTAAATAGGCGCATGAACTCGAATTCCCTTCCCCGGTTTTCTCAAATTTTCATGTGTTTTTGCTGTGCCGTTCAGCTAATCTTCATTAATACCAAGAATGCCAAGTACCCCTTGACAGTGTTTAATGACAATTACTGAGCTGAAACAAAAATAGCTTATGAAACGCCTTTTCTCATATGTGGCCTTGTGTAAGGTGTAGGACATATTGCGTTTTTAAAAATTTGTTTAATATATATTTTTCTGAAAAAATTAGCTGAAACATATTCCACATGGCCTCAGGCACTGGCACATAATGAATTTCATTGAAACATGCTTTTCTCAAAATTATCAATACGTCTGAAACTGGAAAATTGCAAAGTACAGTTCAAATTCAAAAGTAAGACATAATTGTTTTCGAAAAGTAGAATGCATTTGAAATTATTTTTGAATTTTTGACTAGAAAAACAACAGTAAAGATTAAAGCACTGAGGAATGAAAACCATCTTGGAGACGAAGCAATAAATCCCAGAGCGTTTGGCTTGCCGAGTGACGAATTTAAACTAATTGCCGTTTCATGGAAGATGGAGCCACTTACTGTTTTTGTAATTTATAGACAAACTGACATCAATAATTCTTACGAAACCCAGGCTGAAACGCACCAGGCGGGCCGGTGCGATTACGCGTTTTTGCACTTTTCGTACCGTAGCAAGATCGCAAG